TTTTTTCATTTTAAAAATGCTAAATGGAGAAACATTGACTGTCAGATTAATCCATTATGCAAATAAATCTGAGCTGCAGTCGGACTGTAAACACTGTGTGCTTCAGTTAAAGCTTCGACTTAGAGAAAGCAGCTTCAGGTTGGTGGTTTGTTTCTCCTCAGTGTCTGCGTTCCCTTTTGTTCTCCAGCCCTGAAAGTCAAGCTCACTGCATTACAGCTCATACTGCTGACTTGTGCTTTATAAGATGAATTGTAATATGTAAGACTTGGAACATACACAGCAGTCATTACACCCACAGGATGAATCATAATAAGGTGTGCGATCCCCTGACTTATCATTTATAGCCAAGTGCAGGTCAAACACATCCATACATCCATCTTATGGGCCGCTAACAGAACTTAGTTCAGACGTTTATAGTTCCCAGACAAGGAATACTAATGTGTTCACCGATCATCTGACTTTTGATTTTGCACAAGGGACTGAATTTTGGTAAGAGCCCAGCTGGGAAATAAGGCTCACATCCAAAACTATGCATATATACACTGTGCATTGACAAGTTGAAACCACTTTTATTTATATTGTTTCATAAGGCATGATTTTCCATACAGTCATAAAGGCATAAAGGAAGAGAAAAGCAGTTGTTTAAAAAGTTGCTTAGTCAACCTTTATCCAGGCAAATTGAAGCATATTAAAGACTCTTTGGATGGTATGCTAAATGGAACGCATTTACAGAGTGAAGCCCTTTTCTGGTCTTAACGACCACTCAGAGCACTTAACATTACAAATGACATTCACCCATTCACACATACACATTTATGTAGTGCTTTCTATAGCAGGCAGAGCTGTCAAGAGTAATTTATAAGTAGACTTCCCTTCAGAAAAAAAAAAAAGACATCTGGACCTGACAAGCACTTTAATAAAAACACTGTGCCTTTTGATGGAAAGGCAAAAATCTTTACTTCCATCCTCTATGACAAAGCCCATTCCACAGGCCTGTACATCTCTATTAAAAGGTTCAAATTCATGTCATTTACATACAGCTCCGACAGGCCTTTAACTGCACACAAAGTCAGAGAATTTCCCTTAGACCTAATATACGTCTTAAATGATCATCACAAGCAAAGTTTTGATTTGAGTTACAGATTCCTGCAACATCACGACAACTACCTTCTGGGTAAATATATTGTCAAGTAAATGTTGAGATAAACAACAATAATTGCTCTCTGTGGTTTAGAGCTCTGAAAATGCATATTTTGGAAAACTGCCAGTGGAAAGATTACTGAAAACTGAAGTTTGGCTTGTTATGTCTTACAGGGCACAGACATGTCTGGTCTGCACAACATCATGATGTTGGTCCACGCTGGGAGTGGAAAGTAATGTCTTATCTGTATTCTGATTGGTCAACAAGACTTCACAGGCAGGTTTTATGACCACCTGTAGATGTATATGGTAAACAAAGTCAACTTTTAAATGTGTAATAATGAATACCAACGCAGGAATTTTATTTAAATTTATTGTGTCAACCTTGAAAGTACCAAAAATGTATTTACTTTTTCAATTATACTGTATATATATCAATCACAAATTTTGCATCTTATTCGGGAGCGTTGTGGGCAGTGAGAGTGATGAGTAGATATAATAACTTCTCAAGAGCCCACCATTGGTCTCTAATTATCGCATCCCACCAGAGCCTAATAAGGTAATAATAATTTCCTTCATATAACGATGTTGGAGCTGCATGTGGTGCTGTGATGCACAGAATCAGCACTGATGAGCTGATCATTTTCCAATGTGCTCTGGTAATGACTACAAATCAAAAATGATGTCAGAGCCCAACAAAAAAATACTTTGACTGCTGTTTTTTTTTCTTTTCTCATCTTCCACAAAAAATAAAAATGTGCAGGAACCTTGATCTCCTTGAAAGAATCAGCAACTAACGATGCAACAACTGTGCCCGATTAAAAAAAAAGGAATCACATCATGCAAGAAGAAAAGTGAAATTATTGGTATGCAGTGTTGCAAAGATGGTGTGCCATTTGGTGTGTGTGTGTGTGTGTGTGTGTGTTTTACAGATTAAATGGGAGGTTGGAATGATAGGCTGATGGTGGAACTACAACAGAAACGAATGATCAAGCCCAGTGTCAATAGATGCACTTGGCGCTCGTATGATCAGACCACCTGGGATGATATAATTGGAGGCCTAACAAGGATTTGAATCCAACACATCCATGTTGGCACCATTTTCTGTTACACGTTGATTAATATCCCAACACCTGACATGTATTTTTGTTTATTACAAGTTCATTTGTTCTTGGCTTAACGTCCAAAGCTGTTCCAGAGTGTGGCAGCTTGTTAGTGGGAGGATTTATTGATTTTCATCACAGATATTTACCCGGACAGACTGAGGACAGAGCTGTGGCACTGTGTTTGTCTGCAACGTTGACTTTTCTTTTTTGGTGCCACTTTCTATTAGCTTGCCTGCTAACTCGGTGCAGTGGAGAGGCACCCATCTGTTTGTTTTGGCACACGCGCGGTGCTTTCCAGACCTCGGCAGTAGCAGCTAGGCTCTCCAGGATCTATTTAACAATACAACGACACACAGGCAGGATCAAAATGCACACAAGCTCAGGATTTTAGTAAAGCTCTCAAGATTAGGGATCGGGGATTCTAGGGAAAAAGTATAAGAAGGGCAATTCAATTATTGGATATCATATTTTTCATCCCAGCTATCGCTCAGTTACCACCTATAAAGTATTAATTTTGATATAAATGTGTGTATAAATACATATGCTTAATAATCCAGGGGTCATTTTTATTTTTTTGCCTGCCTACAAGCAAGGGGCAGCAAGTCCTGCGTTCAATTCCCAGAGGAACCACCTGTCCCTAATGGCCCCTCCCGGGGCAGCCTGTGTCGGCTGCAAAGACTCTCACTGTAAATTTCCCTATTGTAGGACAAATAAGGGACTCAATTATTATTATTATTATTATTAATCTTCAGGGTTTATCCTGTGATATATTTTTATTCCAGTGTCATCACTTTATCTCAATAATATGCTTTGAACAGTTAAAAGCCATCTCCTTATTTTCTAGACAGAAACGGAGGGTCAAGGCATGAATTTTTTTTTGACACTATACTGGATGAAATTTGTCGTTATCTTTCCACTTAAATCAGCTGTGGTAATTGGTTTAGTGTAATTCGTAGTTTGGCAGTGCGTCTAATGTTAGCAGGTGTCTTCACAATTGCAATTAGACACAAAAACGAGATTAAAGCACCATAAATTAGTGTTGCAATTCAGTGGCGCCACAGTTAGGATGGTTTCCATCACCGCTGCTCCATTCTGCCGCCAAACACATTTAAGATTTATAACGAGATCAAAATCCCAGGAGACAAGCTCAAGTTCCTGCATATTGGTAGAAATAAAGAAGATGTTCGTCCTGTAATATGAAAATAATACGGTATTTCTGCTTGTCCTTGCAGGAAGGTTTCAAAGCTATTAGAGTGGTAATAAATGACTGCTGTCCTTGAATGCATAACAAAAATCTCTTTGTTCTTGGAACATTAAACTACACCAGGGACCTTCACTTCAAGCAGGAAGACCTAGGATGAAGTGTTTGTTTAGATGGCACCATGTTATGAATTAGAAACTAGAGATGAGCTGTAATCAATGAGACTAATGCAGTGACCAAAGGGAGAAACATACTGGGCTGTGATCCCTGAATGAGCCACATGGGACACACTTTGGATAAGATGAAGAGATTACACCAGACATAAAGATATTGTGACCAAGTCATACGCCAATGCTGTTCCACTACATTAGTATTCATCACATCAAACTCTGGCCCTGGAGCTATTGATTGCTGAATGCCAAGTGCTAAAGGCCAGTCAAATAAAACTAAGAACTCGTGTCGAGGAGAGTCCTAAAAGATCCCGCACGGATGAATTAGGAGAAGCGGCACGACCTTGTTTGACCCAAATGTGAACCTGCACACTACATCTCCCTGAGATTTGAGTTAAGCTGCGAGTTCAAGAAACAACAGTTGAATTTTTCCTTCCTGTGGTTACCAATTCATTTAACCAGGAAACGTCAATAATCCTGCGCACAGTCATTTTCAGAGAGCATTTGACTTAGATACTGTATGTAACAACAGACTGATCCTTTGTCAGATGCTCCTTTTACACCCAAACTTAAAACCAAACCTTTTTACCAGATATGCTGCCAATTGTACCTCCCAGATTGTTACCGTTATTTCTGTGCCAATGTTTTTTGTTTTTTTTTTGGAGTGTGTTGCAGGAGGCATAATTTTCTAAATTAATTAAAGTAGAAATAGCTTTGTCAGTGAAAACACTGAAAACTGTTTACTTTTTCATTTTAGTGAAAAAACATTCAGGAAAATTACTAAACCTCAGATTTATCACACTGCATTTCACCAACCAGGATTTGCATTTACCAATTTTCCTAAAGTAAATTTTATTTTATGGTGACTCAACAATCTGCTGAACAGGACAAATTAGATTCAGGAAATAAACCTGTCATTTCTGGGGTAGAGAAAAGAACAGTTCCTACATCCAACATCTGTCAAAAATGGAATTTCCATACAGCAAATACAAAAAATACAGCCCGGATTTCAAGTCAAGATAGATAATGACATAGGTGAAAATTGGCAATTTATTTTTTATTATGTTGTCTTTATTTTGTCGTCTGGGCAGTTCTTACTCCTCTTCCACATGGCAGGATAATTTAAAATGAGAAAAGACTGCGACACAGATGGCAGTGGTAGAAGGAGCACAGGAGGACAACTCTGACACAATGATGTGCTAATGGTCGTGTAGAGTCAGGTTATGATAAGCAAAATGACAAGGGACTATACATTATCTGGATATGAAATTACCTGCGTTGTTGTATCATACAAATACAGCAGAAATACACAAGCAGTGGTACCAGACACCTCAGTCAATTATATTTGCATTCAACGTTCAAAATGGGTTTTAAATGACTTACAGTTTGTCAGGAATGAAGTCTTTATGAAGAGTGAACAGGACAAAGGACCGCACTGCGCTTCTATAAAGTATATAGATAAAAACAACAAAAACACAAATTAAACCAGGTCGCTTTGTTCTTTTGCTGCAGCAGCAGCGTAAACAAGCATTTAACCTAAACTCACCCTGACTTTAATGAGAAGCAACAAAGCGAGGTCCCTAAATTTAAATGAAGTGGGCAGTAAAACTATTGTGTACTGACACTGGCCTGATTCTCTGTGTTTAAGAGGACCATTAGAAACAGGTGGTTCCTAAACAAAAAGAGCCGGACC